AAAAAAAAAAAAAAAGAATTTTAAGGTAGGGATAGCAGGGAATCAATCAAGCCGAGTACCCTTCTAAATGCAGGTTGTCTCTAACTGAAGAGCACACTGTTTTACCCTCAGCACGCTGCCTCTGAAGCTCCCACTGAGGGTCTGTGAAGGCAGTTGGCAAGCTGTAAAAACACTCCAAATACCACATGATGTCCTTCTGAGCATGAAAAGGTTACACAGAGTTAAGCTGATCACATTTAAAAGACACAGAGCTATTTAGTCTGATGGATCATTTTTTTAAAAATATATCTTTATTGATTTCAGAGAGAAGAAGGGAGAGAGAGAGAGACAGAAACATCAATGATGAGAGAGTCATTGATCGGCTGCCTTCTGCACTCCCCCCACTGGGGATCGAGCCTGCAACCTGGGCATGTGCCCTGACCGGGAATCGAACCCCGATTGCCTGGATCCTAGGTTGATGCTCAATCGCTGAGCCACCCCTGGCCGGGCAAAATTTGTAAGCTTTGGTATTTAAACTCCTTATCTCCAAAATGATTAATTTTGTGTTGAAATGATGGTATTTAATAGAGCGAAAGCTATGTAGTACTGTGGAAGTAGTTTTGTTTTGTTTTTTAAATATATCTTTATTGATCTCAGAGAGAGGAAAGGAGAGGGAGAGAGATAGAAACATCAATGATGAGAGAGTCATTGATCGAGCCTGCAACCCGGGCATGTGCCCTGACCAGGAATGAACCCCGATCGCCTGGATCCCAGGGCGACGCTCAACCGCTGAGCCACGCCCGGCCGGGCCCGTGGAAGTAGTTTTAAACGTTTAGTCTTTGGTATTTAAACTCAGTATCCCCAAAATGACTAATTTTTGTTGTGAGCTATTATCATCTTATTGAGGTAACATTGGTTTATAACATTACAGAAGTTTCGGATGTGCCACATTATAATCTGAGGTCTGTAAATACTACATCCTGCTCGCCACCAAAAGTCTGGTTTCCATCTGCTCCCATACAATTGACCCCCTTACCTATTTTGCCCTCCCTTCACCCCCATCCCCTCTGATAACCACCAATCTGTTGTCCGCCTCTGTGAGTTTGCTTTTCTTTTTGTTTTATATTGTACGAGTGAAATCATACAGTATCTGTCTTTGTCTGACTTATTTCACTTAGCATAATACCCTCAAGGTCCACTCATGTTGTGGAAAATGGCAGGGTTTCACATTTTTTATGGCTGAATAATACTTCATTGACTACACAGTCCACTTGTTCTTTATCCATTCATCTCTCCACAGACACTTCGGTTGCTTCTATATATTGGCTATTGTAAATAATGCTGTGACGAACATGGGCATGCAGATTACCTTTTCAAACTAGTGTTTCCTAATTCCTCAGATAAATACCCAGAACTGGAATTGCCGGACATGGTAGTTCTCATCTTCCTGGTGTCCACAGCGGCTGAGCCAATTCACATTCCCACCAACAGTGTAGGAGGGTTCCCGGCTGATTATTTTTTAAAGCAGGAGAAAACTTTTTTAAGTGTTTACATTTAAATAAACTCAGTGTCTCAAAAATAATTAATTTTGTGTTTAACTGATTAGTAGCGCAGGAGCTATTTAGTCCCACGAAAAAAATTTAAAATGTTGTAGCTTTGATATTTAAACGCAGTACCTCAAAAATGACTGATCGTTCGTCGGGTGCTTACTCGACTAGAACGTGAAGTCTGCAGACGGACGGAAGCAGTTAGACTCGTCAACTCCGACGGCGACACCAGCCACCTCCGCCGAGGGCGGACCTCCCACCCGCAACGCAAATCCGCGACGCGGGAATTCGATACGTCACGCGACCACGTGACTACGTAAGCCCGCCCCGCATACGTCATCGTGCGGCCGCGGCGCTTAGACTCGGACGCGCCCCCGGGGGTGGGGCCTCTTGAGGCGCTTGCGCGGTGAAGGGCTCGGGAGTGGGCCGAGCTGGGGCGGGGAGGCGCGCAGCAGCCGCGCGGAGGCCGGAAGGAAGCGGGCGGAGGGCGGGGCAAGCGAGGGAAGAGAGGGAAACCCGCCGGCCCACAGGACAACCGTCGCGGCCTGATGACGTCGCACAATGGCCGGCCCCCGCGGGTAGTGGAGCCCGTTTGTTCCG